CACCGCGCCAACGTGCGTGATGTGTTCCTACGAATCTTCCATGCTAGCTATCTCAACTTGGATCACCCCAAAATCATGCTACTTACAGAAATTTAATCATTCTCACTGTTACCAGTGAAAAGTCCTAGTAAATCAATGAAATGCCTAAATGCCACTGTGCTCAGAGGTTTGGTTAATCCGTCTGCTACCATATCCTCAGTGGGAACGTGTTTAATAGAAATAACGCCTTCGTTCAATTGCGTGCGAGAATAGTGGAAGCGAGTGTCGATATGCTTGCTGCGTGCCGTGATCGCGGCAACGGTAGCTAGGTCGATTGAACCTTTGTTATCTGCCCTGATAGGCAAGGGGTCCTTTGCTGTAACGAATCCTAGTTCCATCATCATATTGCGCAACCACGTTGCTTCGCGTACTGCTTCGCTAAGTGCCACGTATTCTGCCTCATTTGAACTTAAAGAAACACAAGGTTGTTTGGACGAACGCCATGAAATTGGTGCACCTGCTAACTTGAATATGAAGCCTGAAGTAGATTTGCGTTCGCCGTTCAACGGTCCTGCCCAATCCGAATCTGTATAACCTATCGGCAGATATGACGCGTTGGGGAATTCATCGATCTCGTTCTTGGGGCCTTCGTATAAGATGCCAAGGTCGCTCGTTCTCTTTTAGATATTGTATGACGCGGAGGAGAGCCCTCCACGCCTTAGGTGTAGGCGCAGTATTCTTCTGCGCTAGTAGGGATGCTGCTCGCGCAATATCTGGGCGTAATTTGACTGCCAGATACTGCAAGCACCCTACTCCGTGTTGGTATCGCTTTTTGGTGAACCCTCCTTCTCGTTCTGCACACAGGGGTATCGTCTATCTTCAACCCTTCAAGTATTGGGGTAGGGACAGGGACGGCGTCATCTAGGCGGAAATCTTGCACTAAACGATCGATATAGCGTCTCAATGTCAATTTTATAGCACCATCAGGGCGACGTTCAACCTCCATGCCTAAGTATTTTGAAGGTTCTTTTAAATCCTTTATTTCTAATTTATTGGCGAGGGTGTCAACTAGCCAATCGGCATCTGCCGGATCCTCTGCTATAATATGAAGGTCGTCCACGTAGATTGTCATATAAAGGTGATTGCGGGACGTGTGGCGCCATAGAGCAGGGTCGTAGGGGCTAGGTTTGAAGCCATTCTCGCGGAGTAATGCCGTAAGGAAATCGTACCAAATCTTAGCAGCAGGGTCCAATCCGTATAGGGAGCCTCCGACAGCGCAAACCATCGCGTGTGGAGTCCCCACCTCAAATCCGGTAGGTTGCCGCATATAAATCGTTTTACCAAGTCGGCCGTGTAGGTAGGCCATCACTATATCGACCTGGCGCAAGGTCCAACCTCGCTTCGCTGCTATCGCGAACATCATGCGATTAGTAGCGTCATTAACGACGGGCGCGTATGTTTCTTCGCGTGCGCTTTTCTTTAACCAATTACCGCACACTACCCATCGAGATTTTCGTAATATACCATCAGGATCCGCGTTGGGATCCTGGGGGCGATCTTTTTCGACATAAACCCAGCGGCCGGGGGCCACTGGCTCACCAGAAGGGACGTCAGAACGTGGGATCATTGTCCAAGTGTTCCTTCGTTCCAAATCTGCAATCTCGCGTTCCATCGATTTCTGCCAATATTCGCCAACCCCCTCAGGTCTACTAACGGCATCCTTATA